CTTTTCCGTCCCCCCTCCCCAATTGACTCCTCTGGTTCTGCAAACACGGGCAGGTGACCCTCTAATTACACGACGGCACACGAGGCAGCCTCGCAGCTTTTTGTGTCCACCCCTTTTCTTTCTCTCGTTTCGTTTTTGTCTCCCGCCGCGCGCTCACTTTGTTGTCTCTCGTCAAAAAAAGTATATATATATATTATTATTGTCATTTTTTAAATTTTATTTTTTGCCGTTTTCCTCCAAATGACGCGGACAATGGCGAACAGGTGCGAATGCGGACGCGCTCTGATTTTCTCGCTTCGCCTGCTGTGGGCCGGTGGCGCTGGCATGGCGGTTGGGAGGGGGGTATGGAAAAAGTGTCCGGGTGGTGAGGCAGAATTAAGGTGCAGCAGTGGCTGTGCGTGGGCGAAGAGAAGGGGCGGTGCACGAAAGAGACATGAACATTGATGAGCATTTGTTTTCCCTTTCCACGCACATGGAGTTCTGCAAGGGATGAGAGTGATTCATACAGAGCAAGGCGGAGCAAGGGTAACACGTCCATCGCGTTAATACCAGCGCGCGCGTTTTCTTTTTTATTGTCCTCGTTTCTACCTAAAATAAAGAAACACTCTTCATTTTCCCCCCGCCGTGGCCAACACGTTACACTGCCGAGAATAAAAACACGCGGCCTCCCGATGTCATAATTCTCGCGCGCGCTCTGTATTTCCGCAGCGCCTTGCGCGACCTGCCCCCGCCGCTCGCGCCAGCCAGGCCATTTCCTCTTCCTCCTTCTTTTGTCTTCGAATTCAATTTCCGTTTCGTAAAAGAGATGAGAGGGATGATGACGCCCCCGCGTGTGTTACTGCGTATGGGCCGCACAGCTATGACCCGCTCGCCCCTCCTCCCGCTCCACGCACGCCGTCTATATTTCTTTCACCCTGCTCACCCCCTTTCTCTCCCCCGCCATACCTCTCCTTTCACGTCTCCTACCCCCTCCCAACCCCCCTACACCTACTCAGACACACAGAGCGTAGAACAACAACTAACTGTTGGCAAGTACACACCTTGTTTGTTTAGCTGACGAGTCATATCTCTCTGGCTATTCTCGGAAGAAAGTCGGCGGGGGGGCTGTGTACCAACCCAACTGTATATATAGTCCGTACAGTCTACCCCCCCC